CTGGTTGTCTTTAAATTGCAATGGGGGCCTGGCCAGCATGGCTCAGTGGTTGAATGTTGACCTATGAACCAGGAGGTCACACTTGGTTCTCGGTCTGGGCACATACCTGGGTTGTGGGCTTGATCACCAATAGGGGGCGTACAGGAGGCAGCCAATTAATGACTCATCATTGATGTTTCTATCTTTCTCTCTCCCTTCCTCTCTCTGAAATTAATAATAAAAAAATATTTAAAAAATAAAATAAATTACAATGGGGTTGTTGATCCCTTCAGTTCGAAAACTTGGAGACTTTCCCTCTGGAAGCCACACCCAGTTTATACATGTTGGGGTTTTTTCCTATGGGAAGAATTTTCCGAAGGCATGATATCACCAATCTTTGAGTAATACACTGTAGGATGACCAGGTTGTCAGCTCAGAGGGCATTCTGGCTGGGTAGTGGTGGGGACTTGCCTGTGGGGAGAAAGCCACCTTTCACAGAGAGGCATGGGAATAACTCACAGCTCAAGGCAACTGAAGGTTTAATTCTCTCTTTGAGAAGGTCCCATAGGAAGCACTAGCTTTAAGCAAAATCTTTATGAAAGGATTCCTTCTCTGAATTTTCCAAATAGGCCTCTTTGTTATTACCCCAAGGGAACTGACAACCAGTCAGGGAATCAAATCTCCCTTATCATTTCCAGACTATTTTACCTGGCTGTGCACACCCCATTGGCAGGAGGGCCACAAATGGTTCTCTCAAGCTTCACTCAAACCAATCTGCCCCCGCCCTTTCTGGCCTTGTGTATTTGACTCCTACACCATGGGGAAGTCCCCTTGGATTCCAAAAGAAAATTAAACTCCTTGGAATCCAAAACTAATAAACTTTCACAGAGTGGCCCCAAGTGGATTGGTTATCATGATATTTTAGTCTCACCTAACCAATAAGAGGGCCAGTTGGCAAGTTTCCAGGATGAATATTCTCATATGAGCATTGAATTAGAGAAAGCCAAAAGAGTTGGCCATCTACATGCTCAATTTACACCCTACCTGAGTTCTGAGGTAGAGATCTTGTGACGGTTGGGGCTTTGCAAAGCAATTAAAAGAAATAAAGCAAAGTATTATATTTTAATTGATGTAATCTTCAAGCTCCCAGTGGAATCTGGGGTGATATCTGGCTAGAGTTACCCTGAGTATCAATAGATGACTATTCTGTGAAAGTGCATTTAGGAAGACAAAACCCTACAATTCCTGAACTTCATTAACATGTGTATCTGTATGGGGGGACTGGTTCAGACTCCCAGGACTACAAATTGAAAGAAGCCACCTAGACTTTTCTGGGATCTGAACAAAGAGCCAAAGCGGGGGGGGGAGGGGGGAGAAGGCAGTGGGGAGATGACAGAGAGAGAAGGGCAAGTGGAGGGGGAGACACAAAGTAGGTTTATATTTTTATTTGCTTTTAGAGTGCCTGGATATTAGACACACCAGACCATTCTTTCCAAACCAAAACAGCTTTCATCCATCACTAACATTTCTGGGTTTATTTCTGTTTTATTATAAATATTCAAAGAAAAATAAACAGACAAGAAAAAAACTGTTTATACAGTATACAGAATCAGATAGAAAATACAGAATGGAAAAGAAAGCCAACAGCCAACCAGATAAAAAGTGGAGCCCAACCAAGGAAGAGAACCAGCTGCTTGCAAAGTCCCTCATCGGCTTGAGGGAGGTGCAGGGAAGTCTCAGCAGCTGACAGACGCTGCCCAGCACTGCCAGTCTTACCTTTACTCCACGTGGTGAAAGGAACAGACTTCATAAATGATTCATGGGAACATTTATGTGACTAACCCAACAAAAAAGTTTGCTATTGATCAAGATATCCTGCTTACAAAAGTGAGTTTTAAAAACACCCCTTCCCACCCCAAGTGTGATCTCACAGTAGGAAACACATTGCCAGAAGCAAGGGGTGGAGCAGGAGTTGGAGCTGGGGTTGGAGCTCCACTGGGGTCTGTGCTCAGGCTCCCTCCCCGTGTCCTTCCCACCAAATCCACGTTTCTCCATGAGAATTATGGCAAAGTTTAAAAAATACTCATGTCCTGCACAGTTTGCTGTCATTTAGTTCTTAAAAAGAAAAAAGAAAAAAGAATTCAAATTCATGTGAGAGGAGGTCAGCCTAGGACAGAACTGGCATCCTTTCTAGGAATAATCAGGGGTACCATCTGGTCCCCAGAATGGCAGCTCTAACTAATTGTCCTGGCACAAAGAGGATGTTGACCTACCCAAACAGCAAAATCATGGAAATAAGTTCATCATCTTCCAAAGATGTCTTTATTTTAGTACATTCAGAACAGAAGCAATGTGAGGACAGTCTGATTGAAGGTGGTGGTGGTGGTGGTGGTGGTGAAAGTGGTGGTAGTGGCTATTTGTTTCCTGCTCCCTCTAATTTTTTTAAGTTTACAATCAGAAATTGCATAGAATTTCCATCAGAAAATGAAAGCTCTCTGCATGAGACTCCCAATTGGTGAAAAGAAGCAAAGGTCAAGCAGCTGTTGGAAGCCGCACCCCTTCCATCAAATGAGCTCCAGGTCCTGAAACACCAACATGCAGAATGGTCACAAGGAGCCATCTGAGAGCCTGGAGGCATTGTACTGATTTTGCAGCTGGAAGAGAAGTTGGGTGCTTTCCTAAGGTCACGCTGAGGTTAGGACTGAGGAGTTACTAGTTCCCAGGCCTGTGTATTGGCTACAGACCCACCTCTCTCCCAGGAACATGCCAAACTTTTGATTACTTCAGGTCTATTCATTTAATAAACACACACATGCACCCACCCACCCATCCACACACACACACACACACACACACACACACTGCACACTCACATTTGCAGCCAGATCTCATGTCTAGTAGCAAGAAATCACCCAACCCATGATAGCCTTGGGGACCAGCTTCACAGGCAGCCACTGAATTTGGTTAAACAGAGATGCAGTTGGCCAACCGCCATCACACCGGGGCGGCGCCTGCTCCCTCCTCTGTGAGCAGCAGGCTCCAGGGGGGCCCGGGGTTCGCTCGGGGAGGCGCCTTCCCCGGGCCCCTCGGGGAGCCGCGCCTGCCCTTCCCCCGCCTCCGGCACGCTCACGCTCACGCTCACGCTCAGGAACGCCCGGGCCCAAGGACAGGAATCAGAAGGGGAGCAGGGACAGTCACCCGCGGCTCCGCGGAGTAAGCCGTGAGTGAACTGGTTTGGGGTGTTTTAAAAGTTACTTTAATGGACTTTGATCTGAGCCTCTCCGCCGTGTCCTTCCCGAGCCCTGCTCCTGAGCCGCCGCCACCGCGCAGGGACGGTTCACCCCTGAACCCGATGCTCTGGCCGCTCCACGTCCTACAGTGCGGGAGAAATCCGGGGGTTATACAGACCTCCATTTCCTAACCCAGCCTGTCCCTCCAAATGAGCAAGCGAACAAAACCATGAATAGAATGGAGAAGAAAACAAAGAAGGGGGGCGCATTAACAACACTATGCAAATCCGGAAAAGAAAAACTTCCCCGTGGAGTTTATTACTTTTTCTTGTAAGAACCAGACAGAGCGCAAAGGCCCCTCCCCAGGGGGCCAGCGGAGATCCCGCCCCGGGGGCTGGTCCGAGCGGGGCGCGCGCACTGTCCGGCGGGAAGGGCTGCTTTCGGCCCGAGGGGGCGCCGTCCCGCCCGGCTCCCCGGCTCTGGG